ATTCTCCTGCCTCAGCCTCCTGAGTAGCTAGGACTACAGAAGTGCACCACCATGCCCACCTAATTTTTTTGTGTTTTTAGTAGAGATGGAGTTTCACCATCTTGGCGAGGATGCTCTCAATCTCCTGACCTCATGATCTGCCCTCCTCGGCCTCCCAAAGTGCTGGGATTACAGGAGTGAGCCACCACGCTTGGCCTTTTTCTGTATTTTTTAGAGACTGGGTTTCACCATGTTGGCCAGGCTGGTCTCAAACCCCTTACCTCAGGTGATCCATCTGTCTTAGCCTCCCAAAGTACTCGGATTAGAGGCGTGAGCCACGATGACCAGCCAAGTTGCCACCTTCTTGATGGGCCATTTTCTTGTCCCACTGTGGGCACTTCCTGTTTCTCAGAACACCTAACGCTCCTGAAGCTTCCTTTCCTCTTCCAGTGTGACCCGATATCCTTCCTAATACATGCTATTGTCTAGAGGAGGAAGAGCACAGGCTGTCTACATTTATATGCCAGACTTACTGGCTGTGTGACTATGGGCTAGTTACTTAACCACTCTGGGTGTCAGCACCCACCTCACAGGGTTGGAGTGAAGCTTAAATGAGATGATGCATGTAAAGCACTCAGCAGAGTGCTTGGCATATAGTACCCACCCAGTAAGTGTTCACTGCTGTTATTATTATTCCTGTGACAGTTATTGTGATTGTTGTCACCATTTCCTCTTCACACACACTTGACTTTGCCAGGCTCTGGGGACCAACTACTTCTTTGGCATTGCTGATAGGGCATGCCACACCCATTTCTGAAAGTAAGAGGGAGATTTTCCAGGTTTTTCTACTTTTTGTTGACTCCGCCATTGCACAGGATGTGGAGAGGATGTAGTAGGGGTGTGTGTGTGTGAGAGAGAGAGAGAGAGTGTGTGTGTGTGTGTGTGTGTGTGTGTGTAATATGCTGAATGGCAGGCTGTGCTGTATGAAGAGCAAAACTGAAATCATTAATATTTGTATTAACATTGCCTTCTCTAGCCCTTCGCCATTTTCATTTTGAGTATCATTCACTGCAGAAATAAGAGTAAGTTAGTTTCTTTGAGAGAAGGCCTAACGTACTCCCGGGAACTATTTAGCAATCATCAGATTGTTGTTATTACCCTACTGAGTGTAAAATTCTGGGAGCCAACTGGCCGACTACCACTCTCCCCTCCTTCACTAGAATAGATGATGGGTCCATTCTGGGCCAATGCCCAGAGGCCTTGAGTTGAGGCTGGGGCACTGCTTTTGCCCAGAAGAGCTCCCAGGGGACTGGTGGCCATTCCCCTTCCAAAGGCCTCCCAGGGAGTAACTTGGAGGTTCCATTTGCTATTGACTGGATTGTGTTTGCTTGAGGAGCCTGTGACCACCCGCTGGGACAGACAGCCTAGGATAAACTGGACCACCCCTGAGTAAAGCACTCCACTCCGCCCCTTGGTCCCCACCCCTCAGTTAGAACTGTTAGGCTTTGGGGGATGGGAGGGTGGGTGATTATTCTTAACCTCTCGAAATTCCTGATGACCCGATAACAAGGAGGTACTTAGACATAGAATGAGGAGCTAATCTGTCTTTTTCCTATAATGCCCCCCGCCCCCAGGATAACAGAGACTAGTTCAACTCCACTGATTCTGTGAGAATCTACGCACAGAAAATACCTGTCTCATTAGGTGACCACTTTCTTGGCGCCACATTGATCCTACGAAAAAACACACCAGGGCCAGCGCCCTCCTCAGAAGGATCTAAACCCAATTCTAGAGCTGTAGTAATACACGTGCATTTAGCCCCATAGCAGGTGGGAGCTGACGTGCCAACCAGCCTATGGCACTTAGTATCTGTAAACTGGGTGATGATGGCTCCAGTGGCTGTCTAGAGAAAGATCATTCTTCGCCTTCCTCAGCTTTATTGGGCAAGGCTTCCTGCAGGCGAGAAGGGAGATGGCCTTTTGAAAGAGGACATAGATCATTGGCTGTGTTCTAGGGATATTCCAGGCTCAGTGGGACAATAGCATTGGCATGGGAGTGAGCAAGAGAGAAAAGAACATATGCCCATTAAAATCAGCACACTTGGCAGGGTGAGGTGGCACACACCTGCAATCCCAGTACTTTGGGAGGCCAAGGTGGAAGGATCACTTGAGCCCAGGAGTTTAAGACCAGCCTGGGAAACATGGCAAAACTTTGTCTCTAGAAAAAATACAAAAATTAGCCAGGTGTGCTGGTGTGCACCTGTAGTCCCAGCTACTTGGGGGACTGAGGCAAGAAGATCGCTTGAGCCCAGGAAGTTGAGGCTGAAGTAAGCCATATTTGGGCTGCTGCACTTCAGCCTGGGTACAGAGTGGCTCCAAGGAATGTGTTTTCTAGGACAGCATGGGTGTTTTTGGTCCTTTTGTCTCCAGGGATAATTCAGAGTAATGTCACATAGTAAAGTAACATAGTAATGTTACATAGTGTAGTCACATAGTAATGTTATATAATAAAAAGTTATATAGTAATGTTACATAGTCAATTTGGATAGTAATTTTATATAGTAAAGTTACATAGTAATGTTGTATAGTAAAAAGTTAGATAGCAATGTTAATAGTAAAGTTACGTAGTAATGTTATATAGTTTAAAAGTTATATAGTAATATTACATAGTAAATTTGGATAGTAATTTTACACAGTAAAGTTACATAGTAATGTTACATAGTAAAGTTAGATAGTAATGTTATATAGTAAAAAGTCATGTTACATATAGTAAATTTACATATAAAGTTACACAGTAATGTTATTTAGTAAAAAGTTACATAGTAATATTACATAGTAAAATTAGATAGCAATATTATATAGTAAAAAGTTACATAGTAATATTACATAGTAAGGTTACATAGTGGAGTTACATAGTAATGTTACATAGTAATGTCACATAAGAAAATTTCCATAGTAATAATAATAATGTTACATAGTAAAAATTAGTAATAATTTTCCATAGTAATGTTACATGGAGAAATTATATAGTGTTTGCTGTTATTTCATCTAATGTGGGGACCTTTTTTCTTTTGATTTAACAGCTTTAGCAAGGTAATATTGATGTGCCACGATAAACGGCACGTATTTCCAAGCATACAATTTGATAACATTTGACATATGTATACCTGTGAAACCATAAGCACAATCAAGAGAGTGAACATATGCTTCATTCCTGGACGGTTTCCTTGTGCCCCTTTGCGAGCCCTCCCTCCCATCTGAGACAACCACTTCTCTACTTTCTGTCACTGTAGATTAGTTTGCATTTTTCAAAGTTTTATGTAATTGGAAGCATATAGCATGTACTCTTTTTTTGGCCTGGCTTCTCTCACTCAGCATATTTATTCTGAGATGTATCCATGTTGTTGTATACATCAGTATTTCATTCCTTTTTATTGTTAAATAGCATTCCATTGTATGGATAGATCATACATTGCTTATCCATTCGTCAGTTGATGGATGTTTAGTGTTTTTTCTAGCTTTTAGCTATTACAAACAAAGCTGTTATGAACGTCTGTACACAAATCCTTTTTGTGGCTGTATATTTCCTTTTCTCTTGGTTAAATACTTAGGGGTAGAGTAACAACATCATACAGTAGTGTAGGTTCAACTTTTAAGAAACTGTCCAGCTGTTTTTCAAAGTAGCTGAACCATTTTACATTCCTACCAGCAGGGTATGAGAGTCCCAGTTGTTCTACATCCTCGCCAACACTTGATATGGGCAGTCTTTTTCTTTTAGCCATTCTAATAGGTGTGCAGTGGTATCTCATTGTGATTTTAATTTGTATTTCCCTGATGACTGATGATGCTGAACATCTTTTCATATAGTTGCTGTCCATAAGTCTTCTTTGTTGAGGTGTCTGTTCAAATCTTTTGCCTGTTTTTTAAACTGAGTTGTTTGTTTTCTTGTAGTTTGAGAGTTCTTTATGTTTTTTTGGATACAAGACCTTCATCAGATACATGATTTGTAAATACTTTCTCATAGTCTGTGGCTTCTTTTCATCCTTTTCACAGTGTCTTCTGACTTTTGCAAACATTTTTAATTTTTATAAAAGTGCAACTTTTCCATTTTTCTTTTTATGGATACAGTTTTGGTGTGGTATTTAAGAACTCAAAAAATACAGTTTTGATGCTGTATTTAAGAGCTCTTCCCCTAGCCTTAGGTCACAAATATTTTGGTTCATATTTCCTTTTATAGGTTTTATAATATTAGGTGTTACATTTTAGTCTGTGGTCAGCTTTGAGTTAATTTTTCTGTATGTTGAGTGGTATGGATCCAAATTCTTTTCCTTCCTTCCTTTCTTTCTTCTTTCCTTCCTTCCTCCCTCCTTCCCTCCCTCCCTCCTTTCCTTCCTTCCTTTCTTCCTTCATTCTCTCTCTCTCTCTTCTTTTTTGATGGGGTCTTGCTCTGTTGCCCAGGCTGGAATGCAGTGGCGTGATTATGTTTCACTGCAGCCTTGACCTCCTGGCCTCAAGTGATCCTACCATCTTAGCCTTCCAAGTAGCTAGGACCACAGGAGTGGGCCACCATGCCTGGGTAATTTAATTTAATTTTTTTTTTTTGTAGAAATAGGTTCCCACTATGTTGCCCAGACTGATCTTGAACTCCTGGCCTCAAGCTATCCTCCCAACTGAGCCTCCTACAGTGCTGGGATTACAGGTGTGAGCCACTGCACTCAGCCTTTCTTTTCTTTTTGCATATGAATATCTAATTATTCTGGCACTATTTGTTGAAAAAGCTATCATGAGTCTCCTACCATTGTCTATATGTGGGCACATTTCTGGACTCTGTGTCAATTCCATTGATTGTTCTACTTATTTCTCTTTACATTAATACCAACTGTTTTGATTACTGTAGCTTTATAATCATTCTTGAAACCAGGTAGTATAAGCCTTTCAACTTTGCCCTTTTTCGAAGTTGTTTTTGGCTAAAGTCCTTTGCATATGATTTTTATGATTGACTTTTCCATAACATTTTCTTTGATATTTACATTTATACCACTTGCATTAATTTTTGTTGTAACAAATATGTTTGGTCTTATTTTGTATTTCTATTTTATTTTATTTTACTTTATTTTTGAGACCTGTCACCCAGGCTGGAGTGCCAGTGGCATGTTCTTAGTTCACTGCAACCTTCACCTCCTGGGTTCAAGCAATTTTCCTGCCTCAGCCTCCCAAGTAGCTGGAATTACAGGCGTGTACCACTACACCAGCTAATTCCTT